ATTTTATTTTTATCTGTTTGAAGTGCATTATGGGTACTGAGTCATTTTTATGGTTTGTTATATCAACAATTTGATTGTATAGGTATGCGAATACCCACTAAATCAATTATTAAATTAATTATATTTGATAAAGTATGAGTTTTTAGCAGTGTTTTGAGTTCTACATTATTTATATTAGGAACAAATTATTTAATAATTTTATTTTCGAAGGTTATTGGCCAGTATCCAACCAACCTCAATTTATACTCAGCGCTGATCACTTAAGTCCACATAATTTATTTTGTTTTCTTTTAGTATTACCTAAGCCGAAGCTTACATAAATCACCTAGTTCAAGGTTCCCCAATCCATTTACTTATCAAACACATGCAGTACCAAATAGCCACGACCGCGCGTACCTATACAAAATGCAGAAATAAACCTTCTAACTTTTAAATATTTACATTTCAATATCGATTTGCATACGCATTTACTTATTGCATAACGCTTGCCTAACGCAGTAAACAAACCAAACTAAAACCTTGTGTAAACATTCTTTCTAGAACCCAGCTCTTCTTTTGTAAACAGAAATCTTCTTGTGCAAATTGGCTTTAGAAGTTGTACCATACAGTGCACAGTGGTGTACTAAGTATAAGAGGAAATACATTTATTGAAATGATTGGGAATTATATCAACAAAAAAGGAGAAATTATAATACTTTACATAATTTTACTTGTATATGGGGACAAACTTTTATAGGTTATTTTCCAATAAGTAAAATCGTTCAACCAAAACCAAATACAAATTTTCATACAGGCAGTTGAATTTATGTGATTTGCGTGGTATTTGGTATACATTCATAAAAAAACAAAAGACTACCTCAGGTTAAAACTAACATAATTACAACACTTTATCACACTGTCCAAAAATTTTGTGCCTAACTTCCCAAACTTAGGAGAACAAATTTGGCCACAAAGCACATAAAAGTATAAGTATTTAATCAAAATATACATGTACAGTCAGCAATTAAAGTAATGTCCTAAATTAAAAATGTATCAGTTTATAAAAAATAAACTGTTTATGTAATTTTTTGTTTAACATTAGTTCTATATGGTTGGTCATCAGCTGTAATAACAAAAAAAACTATCGTAGTCACAAGATTCTGTTTTGGAGGCCCGTGAATTTTTAATTTGGGACATTACTTTAGTTGCTGACTGTACATTAAACAAAAACCTGTGAAAGAATATCTAGAAAATATTGAAAGTGAAGAGAGTAATAATTGGTGTACTGATTAAATTCTTGAAATTGTAAAAAACAAGTCAAAAAATGGAAAAAATCGAAGGAAAAATTTACCTAAATATATAACATTATTAGGTACACTGGATTTTGGGTGTTGAATATTAACTAAACCGGCCCCTCAAGCTACTTAATAATCATCGAGCGTTGTTTTGTAAGATTGTTAATGCATATTTAATTTGATTCTCAAACAAGTTTCGCTTAAGCCAAAAACTAACTGGATTATTTACTGATACCCTGATACTGACAAAATTAATGAAAGCTCAATTTAATTTTTTAATCAAAATAAGTAAACCTATTCCTACACCAAATTAACAATCCACATAAGTAAGTAAATAATTGTAATGTAACTAATAATCAAATACAGCAAATCGCTTGGTGAGGTTAGTTGGAATAATTCTCATCAAGATAACAAAAAATGGTTATGAAAAATTTGACAAATTTCAAATTAATTGAACCAGCAAAAGAATTTACCAATTTCGTGTGAAATTTTTTACATATTTTAATCTCGATTTTAATACAACTTATTAAAACTTGTAGGAATGTTAATTCATTAGTTTCGACTAATTTCACTTATTTTTTGCCATCACAGTGGCTAAGAATTATTATTAGATACTTTGCTCAAAGTCATGATGCTCTAGGTATATATTCTAAATATGGCCAATACAGCCCATGACACGTAAAGTAATTCAAATGAATTAATGATTATTAGCCCATATAAAGTAGAAGCGATTGAGTTTGCTATCAAGAGAAATCTTCGTTTTTAGTTTAAATCTTACTTTCCCCAAGACATTTCGAGATGATCACGTTTATCATCAAACAGTTTGTGTTAAGATTCATCCATGTGTACACCATTCAACCGCATCAAATTCTTATACCAAAAAAAAGGTGTGATGCAAAATATGTATTTTCAAAAAACAAAAAAATTTTGGATTATGATAGTTAACATCAAAGCCTACACAATATAGGCATGTACTATCATCAAAGCCTACACAGCATATGCATATGCTAGCGTCAATGTATTAAATAAAACGTAATGCTATTGTAGTAACTGTACTTTCTTATAGTTTTGCCAAATAAAAGCAGAACCACAGTGTTAATTCTAATAATTTAAATGATATAAGTAGTATCACTTAGCTTTAATTTATTCTGGCAATTACTCTAGATTAAAAGTAATTTTAAAAAAGGTTTTCTATTTTCACCATAAAATTGTTTTACTCAATTATTTACTGGATTATTTATTACTTTCCTTTTTTAATAAACAACTTTAATTTCTATAATACACCTTACATATTTCACTTTGTACGATAGTTGCAATTGCAGAAATAATATTAGATTATTGTTCAATACTAAATAATTGTATAGAAAGTACCTATGTAGGTATATCTATGTAGTTGTTTCCATTGCAGCCAGTTGCAGCTATTATGGAATATCTATAGTCATAAATACATTACATTTTTCTTAAGCAATTCCGCAACTTTCTAATATATCAGCATTAGCAATTTCACTCTGATTTTGATCGGATGTTAGTATTATGGTTGAATTGGTACTTAATTGTATTGCGATCCATTAACGATAGATACCATCGAAAAATTGTTGCAGATAAAATACTTGGTATTCAACATACCTAATAGAATAGGTGAAACGCCCAACTCTTTAATAAATACCTACCTACTTATTATATTTAGAAAAAAGATTAAGCAAAAGTGTCAGGTAAATGATCAACATATTTTGCGGTACATTGAGTAAGTATCTCATCTCAACTTTAGAGGACAAATAAAGAATACCCCACAAAGGAAAATTAACTAAGTAGCCATCTGAGACAGAAAATCTACCATGTATAAAAATTGACAAAAAGGAAAAATATGTAATTATGTATTTCATTTATTTTTTCTATCTCCCAAATCGTATCTATGGGTTCCTCGATGGGTTCATAGTAGCTATATTAACTTTTTATATATATTTATATAATATATTTATATGGGTTCATTTTATATAATATGCTTTATCAATGAGAACTTCTGTGTACCTACTTGTGGTAATGAAGGTTTTTTTCTCGGGTTTTTTAAACTTGAATTTAAATTGTTTCAACTTCCAAATAACATATTTTGGTTTCTGCATAGTAAATGCAGTAAGTACCTTCCTAAATTTCGATAGGTATACCATACAGTTTAATTTTCAATAAGGTCTTCCTACTGAAAAGTGAAAATGTGAAAGCAAAATGAGAAGAACAGCAAAATAATTAAATACATTATTGTGACCCTAGGGGGTATAATATACAATGTGTCCCGCTTAAGGACTGACCACCCTTCTAAAATTTTACTTTTTCAACCGATTCATTTTTTTTTTTTCTGTCTTGTATCTACTCGAATTTGGCACTTATTAGGCTCATAATTTTATTTCTGCGGCTTTACTGGTGTACAGGGTCTCCACATTTATAGACTCAAATTTCAATAAGTACCATTGGGGATTTTTTAGAAAAAATCTGATAGCAAATTCTTGTTTAGAATGGTCTAAAACCCAAATGTACTTATTTTTGTTTCAATACGATACAGGGTGATCACAACAACTTTTCCAAATTTAATGGACCAAACCGCAACAATGTCATATTTTGAGGCCTTGAGAACAACAAAACTTGATACAATATAGTTTCAGAACATTAGCCAAAACTTGTAGTAAGCTTGTCTCAAAATATGACAGTTTTGCGGTTTGATTCACTACATTTTGAAAACTTGTTGTGATCACCCTGTATCGTATTGAAACAAAAATTAGAACATTCAGGTTTTAGATGATTCTTAACAAGAATTTGCTATCAGAGTTTTTCTAAAAAAAACCCTTATAGTACTTATTGAAATTTGAGCTTATGAATGTGGACACCCTGAACACCAGTACAGCCGCAGAAATAAAATTATGAGCCTAATAAGTGCCAAATTCGAGTAGATATAAGACAAAAATAAATAAAATGAATCGGTTAAAAAATAAAATTTTTAGAAGGGTGGTCAGTCCTCCAGCAGGACACACTGTAGAAAAGTTTAGAGGAAAATCAGAAAAGTATTCAAGTATGTTAACCGTGCGTTCGTTATTTTGGTCTGAGTTCTCCGAGCATGACTTTACCGTTCGTTTATTCAAAAAGTGTACTCGGTGCAGCCTCATTCGCGTTCGTTTATTAAAATTTCTGGCATTTTTATATAGCGTTCAACTGCTCTGTTCCCTCACTGGTCACGTGATTACGGCTCCGCTCAGCACGCTCTGCTCTTCGAGCAAAATACCGAACGCAAGGTAAGTATGTACTTACACATAACTAGATATGATTATTCAGAAAATTGGATTCAATTATTCCACCTTTAATAAATTTTCAGTTAGGGTTGTACCTTGGGGTGTCCATAATGTTCAAGTATATAGGTACGTACGTACCTACACCAACCTAGCTTAGCTTGTTTATGCAACCTTCATATTTATATAAGGGACACTGAATTCAAGCAATACGTTAATAAATTCTTAGTCCAAAATGTAATCATCTGCGAAAACCGGTAAGTAAATACCCAAGTATTTTTTAAAATAACACCCTCAGAGGCTGGAATAAAAATGACCATTTCATAAATCAATGCATTAAATTATTACTTTACTGCCACCAGGTTCCAGCAAGGATTTAATGCCAAGGTCAGTAAATATAGTAAAAAATCTATTTGAAAAAAAAAATACAGACAAACCATCAGTAAAAACTCACCAATTATTTCGATGACAATAATCCAAGTGGAACAGATTTTATAGCAAAACTTAAAAGCTGATTGACAAAATTAGAGAAAATTATTGTGGCTTATTAGGGACCAGACGATGCACACGTGCCGAGTGGTCTTATGTAAAACTGTGACGCGACCACGCTTGACGATCAATACCAGAGAACTAAAAACTGAAATGCTAAAACAGTGTGTGAGTCAGTGCGGCAATCGAAAATCCATCCTCGGAAACCTACTCAAGTTGTTGCGTAGACGTTTAAGCGCAATGTTCAGACCGCGGTGTGTGATCGCCACCTATCAGTGGCAATCCGCACCAATATTATCAATCTGGAGCGCAAATAGGTGATTTTTGAGACGTGAAACATAACAAAAATGATTCATATAAATCATATACCTTAGATTTTTGATAAGAATTATTTTTAGATGTCGAGATTGGATTGTTATTAGACAAATAAAAGTAAATAGTTCTCTGAAAATCCAGTGTGAATAGCAAAAATGTCAATTTTGAAAATGTCCAGTTTTGTCGAGGTTTTGCTGGGTTGGGACTGTTGGGAGTTATTATTGAGGCGTAGCTGAAAATAACTTTTTCTCAACCCTTTCGAACTATCACATTTAAATATCTTCTATTTGTTTGCTTGGAATAATTATTATTGATAAGTATATCAATAGGTATGCGTACAGGGTATTTGATTATATTTGGCACCATACCTACAGCCTTTACTATTTAAGATAGAAAAAAATTGTAAATACAAAACTTGATAGTTTTTTTCTATATTTTCTTTTAACGTTATCAGAAAAAACAAAATCGCATCGGAAAATGGAGAAACGTAGAAAACTTCGACTTTTTAAATGAAACACCCTGTATATTTTGCGATGAAATGAAAGACCTTTTCTTCCTGATTACAAATATATATATGTTGATCACATTTTCATGAGCCATTTTTGACATATCTCAGCTTAAATTATAACTAAATTGCAAAGAAATTTTATAAAGATAGAGATCCTTCCCTAATAACACCGATCTCCCAGAAACATCCTATTTATGTACCATTAAGGTCCTTATGTTTCCGACATAAATGGTACATCGCTGCGATGTTTGTAATGTAACATCTCTAGGATGATTGTCCTGAAATGTTTTAGAAACATCCTTTCGAAAATATCTATCGACAAAAAGATTTTTTGTTCTCAAAATTAGATACTTATTACAGCTAAAAAATGGCTAACATTATTTTACAAAACTAGGTAGGACCTCAGACCGGTAGGACCCAGTATTAAATTTGCCAATTTTGTGTGATTTCTGAAAATGTCTCTATCACACCCTAATAACACCGATCTCCCAGAAACATCATATTTATGTACCATTAAGGTCCTTATGTTTCCGACATAAATGGTACATCGCTGCGATGTTTGTAATGTAACATCTCTAGGATGATTGTCCTGAAATGTTTTAGAAACATCCTTTCGTAAATATCTATCGACAAAAAGATTTTTTGTTCTCAAAATTAGATACTTATTACAGCTAAAAAATGGCTAACATTATTTCACAAAACTAGGTAGGACCTCAGACCGGTAGGACCCAGTATTAAATTTGCAAATTTTGTGTGATTTCTGAAAATGTCTCTATCACACACACAAACTAATTTCAAATTCCATAATATACCTGTAATGTATATAGATAATAAGGAACTTAATATTAATTTTGTATTGTAACAACAGCAATATTTAATTTTTCATTCGACTTACAACTTGGAATAAAATAAAATATGTATTGATAAAAGTCTTCTCTCTTTTCAACTTTCAAACATCGTGAATATTCGTGAAGCCGAAGTGTATGGCGCAGGCGCGTGCTCAGGCATTTGCACTTGTACCGGTCAGGACAGGAGGGCACGCCACCACGTCGGGTCGGCGCCGCAGCCAGCGCAGACGGGCAGAATCAGTCGAACGGGTCGTCCTGTGCGCTACGCTTGTGTTGTTGGGCGGAATTTTATTTCGTAATGGCGTCGTGCTGTGTGGAGGATTTGTCAATTTGTGGTTTTTCGCTACACCTAGTTGTGCCATTTTGTGTTCGAAAGGATCTCTGCGACCTACCAGTGCTTATTAGTTGGTGAGAAAGATTATTTGTTGAAAGATAACGTCGCATAACTATCAATTGTTTAGTTTATTTAATTTCAATATGGCGTCGGTTAGGAAATTTCTAACTTTTCTGATAAATAGCCCCTAGAAACCCGAACTTCATTCTTCATTAGGTAAGAGAAAATAACCAATAATTATTTTTTGTTTTCATAGTTGATTACATTCTAGGTGTGCAAGTTGAATTGTACTTCAAGAACTTTGGATTTTGGTTCTGTGGTTGTTTTGGTTAGATAATGGTACCTTTATGAAATTGGAGCACCAACAAAAAAAGAAAACGCCGAACTCCCCTACTACAACATGCTGCCACTGCCAAACTATGGTTTTCGATGACATGACGGGGCATAAATACTACATTATTTAGGCAAAATTGTCCGTCGATTATTATTAGTTGATAGATAATCAATATAAGTATACATGTACCTTATTTTTTCAATAAAAAATGTTATTGGAAACTGATGTGCCTACTTAATTTTATAATTTTCAATTTTTGTTTTTTTTTTGGAAAAAGTTCTGACTTCCAGAAAATAGAACGAAAATTGAAAATTATTGAATTAGGTAATTTTTAATCCATAATCCTAAAATTCATTCACCTATTAAAGTCATACTAGAAACATATAGAGGATGTTTCTTACACCTGCCCCGGATGTATTAGGTACATCCCGCGTCATCTTAGAAACATCCCTGAGAGATGTTTATAGGACATCGCAAATGATGACACGGCTGTTGCCTGCAACATCCCAGGGATGTCCCCAGGAAAATAGGGACCTCCCAGGGACGTCTTCATTATCCCTGATGGATGTTTCTGGAATGTTTCTGCGATGTTACTGTGTTATTAGGGCACACACAAACTAATTTCAAATTCCATAATATACCTGTAATGTATATAGATAATAAGGAACTTAATATTAATTTTGTATTGTAACAACAGCAATATTTAATTTTTCATTCGACTTACAACTTGGAATAAAATAAAATATGTATTGATAAAAGTCTTCTCTCTTTTCAACTTTCAAACATCGTGAATATTCGTGAAGCCGAAGTGTATGGCGCAGGCGCGTGCTCAGGCATTTGTACTTGTACCGGTCAGGACAGGAGGGCACGCCACCACGTCGGGTCGGCGCCGCAGCCAGCGCAGACGGGCAGAATCAGTCGAACGGGTCGTCCTGTGCGCTACGCTTGTGTTGTTGGGCGGAATTTTATTTCGTAATGGCGTCGTGCTGTGTGGAGGATTTGTCAATTTGTGGTTTTTCGCTACACCTAGTTGTGCCATTTTGTGTTCGAAAGGATCTCTGCGACCTACCAGTGCTTATTAGTTGGTGAGAAAGATTATTTGTTGAAAGATAACGTCGCATAACTATCAATTGTTTAGTTTATTTAATTTCAATATGGCGTCGGTTAGGAAATTTCTAACTTTTCTGATAAATAGCCCCTAGAAACCCGAACTTCATTCTTCATTAGGTAAGAGAAAATAACCAATAATTATTTTTTGTTTTCATAGTTGATTACATTCTAGGTGTGCAAGTTGAATTGTACTTCAAGAACTTTGGATTTTGGTTCTGTGGTTGTTTTGGTTAGATAATGGTACCTTTATGAAATTGGAGCACCAACAAAAAAAGAAAACGCCGAACTCCCCTACTACAACATGCTGCCACTGCCAAACTATGGTTTTCGATGACATGACGGGGCATAAATACTACATTATTTAGGCAAAATTGTCCGTCGATTATTATTAGTTGATAGATAATCAATATAAGTATACATGTACCTTATTTTTTCAATAAAAAATGTTATTGGAAACTGATGTGCCTACTTAATTTTATAATTTTCAATTTTTGTTTTTTTTTTGGAAAAAGTTCTGACTTCCAGAAAATAGAACGAAAATTGAAAATTATTGAATTAGGTAATTTTTAATCCATAATCCTAAAATTCATTCACCTATTAAAGTCATACTAGAAACATATAGAGGATGTTTCTTACACCTGCCCCGGATGTATTAGGTACATCCCGCGTCATCTTAGAAACATCCCTGAGAGATGTTTATAGGACATCGCAAATGATGACACGGCTGTTGCCTGCAACATCCCAGGGATGTCCCCAGGAAAATAGGGACCTCCCAGGGACGTCTTCATTATCCCTGATGGATGTTTCTGGAATGTTTCTGCGATGTTACTGTGTTATTAGGGTTATAGAACTTCTCTGCAAATTCTTTATAATTTAACCTGAGATATGTCAAAAATTGCTCAAGCAAATGTTATCAATATATATATATTTGGAATCAGAAAGAGTAGATCTTTCATTTTATCGCATAATATACAGGGTGGTCCATTAAAAAAGTCAAAGTTGCTTACGTTTCTTCATTTTCCGATGTGATTTTGTTTTTTCTGATAACGTTATCAGAAAATACAGAAAAAAACTGTCAAGTCTTGTATTTAAATTTTTTTTCTATCGTGAATAGTAAAGGCTGTAGGTATATGGTGCCAAATATAATCAAATACCCTGTACAGTTTCTTTTCCATTACTCGTTTCTTTCTTTACTATTAAATTCCGTACTTAACTCTTGCTTGTGCTTCTTCATATATTTCTTTTTCTCTTGTTTTATTTTATTTCAGGTAGGTACCTACCGTTACCTAGTATTTCTTCCTTTTGTCTGCTATGTGTTTCTCGATTTCTTCATCCTACCAATAAAGTTTTTGTGTTTCTTAATTTTTGTCGTAACCTTAGGCAGGCACACTGTCGTGTGACATGCATTCAAGTGAGGCGGAGCATAGGTCATTGGAGCAAAGTCAAGGAGCAAAGTGGCGTTTCTGGTTTACCCACCACAACAAATACAAGACATCGCACGCGAAACTTAGGCGGGTGACACACTGGAGAAATAAGTTTCATGAGACTTGTAAACGGAAGCAAGTTTCATGTCAACGCAGACTCAAGTTATTAGATTAGCAAGCGATGTCCTCGGATGAAGACGTGAATTTTTGTTGTGGTGGGTAAACCGCCGGAAAAAAAAACGACAAGCGAAAAGGGAAAGGCGATTTTGGGTGCATCCTGCGAATTCCCGAAACAAATAAACGCGAAACGCAGCACGTTCTGTTTCACA